GTAAATACTTATCGTCGCTATAAATTGCGAACGTACAGACCTGTGGATGGAAGAAAAGGTATAACTCCATAAGCAGTTTTAAAAAAGCTGGTAGATCAAGGCAAGAAACAACGAATTCGCAGTATAAAAGTCAGAAGAATCAATTGAATATTTCCCCAGACATCCAGTGGAGTATTACAGTCACAGTATAACATGTCTCGTACACAATAAAAGTAGGTTCTAACAAGGAAAATAGCAGAGCAACATCTCACGATGTACACGTAATTGTTCTTTAGAGTTGGAATTCGCTTTTATTTCCTGAAGACATTTCGAGGCGCATTTTGGGTGAAAAATCATTGACTTTGTCTCCTTTCGTTAGCAGGTGTGGGCAATCGGTATCCCCGCAATATGATCTCTCCAGCTTGCCGCAGAGTCCAATCAATAGTCTGATATCCTTCGGTTGATTGAGTCCGAAGAATTCTTTTCTCCTGACTGTATGACTTCCAGTCGTTAACATCCCTTGTCTTAACAGGATTTACCTTGTATGGGCGAGGGTGAATTCTAGCCATCCGACAGATACTTGTCAACTGGGCTGGCAATATGATCTCCCCAACTTGCCGCATAGTTCTTTCAATAACGCTATGCATGGCATCACCCTCTGACTGGCCATGTCCAACTTCAAAGAAGTGCAGCCTGATAGTTTGGACAGATCTTGCCTTCTCGATAAAAGCTCGCATCATAGCTGGAAGGATAGAGTTTTTGTTTTGTCCGGGACAGCCAACGGCATGGCAAACAACTTTGCTTCCGTAATGGCACTTTCAACCAGCTTGTTCAAGTTGTGGTGAAGGCACAATGCAATTTCACAGGACCCTCTCTTTGTCTGCCCTTCATGTGACAAGGAGCAGATCTCATCTTCATACATTGTGAAATTATAATTAGCAAGCCTTCGTTTGTAAAACAGCTCAGAGCGTGAAGATTTTGGCAGTAGATCACTTGCTGTAGATCAAACACAGCTGCATTGAAAGTCTTTTCTCGACCGGCACCCTCCTTTGCATAAGTTTTAATTTCTCATATTACTTTATCTTTGATATGAGCTTGATATCGATCTTCTAGGTCTTCCCTTTGCTTTGGTGTTCCATGGTCGTACGACTCGCAAATCCCACACTGATCTTTCTTCAAATTATGAAATTTCAGGTTCATCTCTTTCAGAACTTTTTCCCGCTACCCTCTATTGCATTTGTGTGCACTATCATCTTCTCCTTCCCCACCGCTAGCTTTCTGTGTGTCTCTGTGCTCCACAGAGAAATGTGGATAACCCCTCTTATTCAATGTTGAATAGGCTATCCATCCGTCTGTGTATATCATGGTGCCTTTCTCTACGTGCCTCTTGATGAGAGGAATGAGGGTAGCCTCATCTCTCTTATCTACTGGGTAGAGGATGATGCGCTTTGTGGCCCTCTCCTCCATTCCTAGGATCCAAACTTTCGAACCTCCTCTTTTGTCTTCTCTATGGTATTTACACCGACGGCCGAACAAACTTCCGTTGATTTCTACCTCTCCACGAAACATCTTTGTGCCTCCATAATAAAGGCCGTCGACAAATTCCGACACAGGTCGCTAGATCAGAGCTAATATTCTCATCTAACACTTTTCTTAATCTTGTTGCAAGACTCTTAGTAAATCATTTATAATCTGTATTTAAAATATATTTTTATTGGGCAATAAATTATTTCCTTTTCGAACTCAGCAAATCCGTAAAGGAAATGTGAATTTTTCTTAAGTTTTAGAGAATGCAGCCGAGGTTTAAAAAGCTTAATGACTGCATCACATGCTTCAACAGGAGCGTCTCCTTTGTCTTTTATTAAAAAATCTGTATTTAAAATAGAAATCGGTCTCCAATTTTTTTAGAAATAGAAGATCCTGGCTTTTTTAGGAATAATATTAATAATTGCTCTTCTTTGCCAATGAATCACATCAAGAAAATTGGCGCTATATGTTAATCATGTTAGAAATATGGACCCACCCTCGTAGCTCCGTCGGCTGAGGCAAGTAAGGTTATTGCATTAAAGAAAGACACGTAGCTACAAGAGGAGAGCGGGAGATAAATAGTACGACTTGTTTTAGCAAATATTACGGTGTTGGCCAATGACGTGCAGGTTAATACTCGGTATGTGTTTCCAAGTCTTCAGAATTATCGTTCAAACACCTTCTTGTGCACAGGCGCTACAGACATCAACTTGAGAATCTCCTTCTTCTTCAGAGATGATACACCCCTTTGCTGTTCCATTTTGATGATGGTGTCCGTTGTGCTCTTGCCTTCAGCGGTTAAGGCTATGATGACAGCTTCCTCCTTCTTTTTCAAGAACTTCTCTTCCCGGAAGTTATCCGAGAAAGAGCGCTTTGTGAACATACTTGTAGAGCCCCTCCTGAACTCTACGACTTTGAGTTGTCTCAATGTTGTAGCAACCTTCTTCGCATTATTCTCATACACACGCACGTCGGTGTGACTGAGAGTGGTACATTTGATGTTCCGACGTGAAGTTGCAACTAGACGTGTGAGGTCCTCAAAGTCATACACAGCCGCTTGCCTGTTGAGTTTATTCTGTATTGCAGCATGGGTGGAATCTGCAGCCATAAAGGTGTAGCCGGGTTCCAGATAGTTCATTGTGATGACTTCAGTGGCTGTTGTTGAATCATTAATGACTCATGAAAATGCTGAGAACAAGAGCCAGTTTTTATTTTGGCTTGAACAGTTATCTGCATAGAAGACGACATGTGTCTGGTCCCTGTTTTGCTTTTGGAAAGAGCATATTGAACTTACTCAGGAAATGTTCTTATCAAAAATGCCAAAATTTCGAGTTACGCTCTTTTGCCCTGCTACATCAATTATAGAAGGAAATGCATACTTTTCACACAGGAACATTAGAGAGTGCCCTTCGATGAGAACAAATAGTTAACTAAAAAATGGGGAATAACTGCCCTAGAATCTAGCAACAGAAAAGGTGATGATACACATATTTAGAGCAAATTGATTATATGATATTGGATGGTCCTGAGGTCAATTATACCAGTACAAGGAAATGCATACTTTTCACACAGGAGCATTAGAGAGTTTCATTCAAATCACCCTATTTCATGTATCATGAGACCTTTAAAGAGTCAAGCTCGTGTATGTGTTGTATAGAAAGCCATGAGGAAGATATTACATAGGACATGTTATTCAACAAAAAAATTGTTCAGTTATTTTGTTCTGATGTCTTCATATGGCTGACACTTCATTTATGTCACAACTTGTATGTTAGATTATTTTAAGTATATGTCATTATGTTTTAAGATGAGTCCCTATTTTTATTTTATCAAAGCAAATCAAAGCTAATTTCTGCATATGGTTGACACTTTATCTATGTCATGGATTGTTTATAAGATTATTTTTTATATATCAAAGTATATGTCATAGTATGTTAAGATGAGTCTATATTTTTATTTCTTTAAAGCAACTGAACTGAAACACAACTTGTATGCTAGACTATTTTATATATATATATGTCATAATATTTTAAGATGAGTCCTTACTTTAGTTTATCGAAGCAACTTTTATGTTAATTTCTGCATATGGTTGACACTTCATCTATGTCAAAAATTGTTTATCAGATTATTTGTCATTATGTTTTGACACTTCTTCTATGTCAAAAATTGTTTAACAGATTATTTTGTATATATCGGTTTATTTGTCATTATGTTTTAAGATGAGTCTCTATTTTTATTTCATAAAAGAAACTTAACTAAGAAAGTTTAAATTTTGTACCAGTTATAAATACAGAATAAAATGTGCTTTGGACAAAAACAGTCAGAGAATTTTGATTTTATTTGTTTGAAAGTTTGAAAGAAAAGAGGAGAGTGAGGGAGAAATAGGAAGGAAGAATATATATTTGAAATAGAGTGAAGAAAAGGACAGTTTGCTGCTTAAAGCCTTAAAGCAAAACATTTAGAAAAGAAACAAGAAGACTGAGAAAAATAACTGTAATAGAAAATGGGCGAATACAGAGGTGGGAGGGGGCTTGGGCTGAAGAAGGTGGGGAGAAAGAGAGAGAGAGAGAAAGACAATGGGTTAGGTGCAGGTTGAGTGAGAGTATAGTGAATGAGACGAACAGAAAGAGATTTGAAGAAGTAAATGGTATACATTTTGGAAGTAGATTTTTTTTTCCTTCTGATTTTCATCAATTTGAATACTTTTATCATCATCATAGTTCCATCAATGAACAATATGCCTTGGTGCACTGTAGTAGTAAATACAAAGGGAGAAATCTTGCATTCATTTATTCCTCGGCCAGATGCCCTAAATAAATTACATGGATGTTGATCAACAAGATTAATGGTGATATATTCCATTACAAAATTTAATTTTTGTATTACAGTCAACAAGAATACACAAATTGAACATTATTAACTTGCTTTCACATCTCTTTGAATTTCACTCTTCATCCCCTTCTCTCTCGTTACTAAAACATCCACAAACCAAATGGTATCCTCCTCTCTTTCTCTCCCCTTTTTTTCTTCTCCTCTCTCTCTCTCTCTCTCTCACTCATTCCTCTTTTTCAATGTTCTCTTTTTCTAGACTCTGCATAGTATATATTTCACCTTACAGAGCTCCTATCATCTTCAGGTCAGAATTATTGTAATTTTGAAAAATTTATTGGGGAGAAGGGAGGGGTCCAACTATTTTGTATCAAAATCAATAAGTTATTTGATGCAAGAGGTATTTTGAGTTTCAAGAAAATATAGTCTGAAAATTGGACCCTTCAATGACAATACATGTATTCCTGTTCTTTGCCTACTTTTTGTTTCCTGTAAATTATCACCCATACACATGAAATTCTGTAAGAATTTAGACCAGCATCTTGCATATGTCACATATCATGTACACTAACTTCACTAACAATCTCTCTCTCAGTAACACACACTGAAATGAAATAATGAATGTAAAAACTCAAAAGGGCATAAAAAAACATGTTCAACACTTCTACTTTCCAAAAAAAAGGAATTGTTTGTTGCTTTTATTTCTTACTTTGAATGTAATACATAAAATAGTTTGAACACCTTACTTCATAAACATTGCAAACCGAAATGTGCACTTTGTTTGCATTTCACTTTTTGTCTTCATCAATGTTACCCTTCAGTTAAAGTCCCTTGAAATACTGAACAGGAATGAAATGAATTCAACTGAGTTTGGGCCAATATCCATCCCAACTATCAACAGTAGAGTTTGGAAAAAATGTCTAAATATATTAAAATGTTTGAATATGTTTCACAAATTGACTTGTACAATTTTCAAACAGGAAAGTCATATATGGCCAGGAAAGTCATATATGGCCAGAATAGTTAACTTAGTGCCCTTGATGCTGATTCTTATTGCACATGACAGCTAAGAAAACAAACGTTACTGCTTCAAATAGGCAACCGGTGGACCGACATTGACTGCTAGGTCCTATCCCAGGTAAAGAAGAGGAAGAACGTCTTAATACCAAAGGGCCCTTTTTTGTTCAAACATGGGATACTCCCAGTTATAAGGCCACTGTCCCCCAACGGTCATCATCCCTTCATTACAAAATTTGTATCTCATAAAAAAGATACAAAAGTTTGTACATGTTGCTTCAAAAATATGTATTGATGAAAATTTTCAGGACAATAGTTTTTTGTGGGTGCTGAAGTTAACTTATCTGAGGCAAATTTGGAAAATTGTTGTTATAAACAAGGTGGTCATGATTTCAAAGTTGTGCACAGGCATTAACTGTTCAGACCCATATTTCTAGTAATGTTGATACTTACAGTACATGAACAACATAATTAACCTGAATAAAACATAACATGAAAAATGAGAGAGTCAACAAAATACAACCTATAGTGGAATTTAAAAAAACTTAACAATTATGTACACAAGGCAAACCTAATTATTGTGACATACTTAACTAAGCATACAGCTATATACAGGTAACATGACATGTATTCCAAATAACAGATGTTATTTAGGAATTCAAAATTTTCAAAACTACAGATCTGGTCAAAATATGACAGCTTTTGAATATATATCTTGTTTGTCTACATCATTATAGGACATATTTGTACATTTTTACCTGGGACTGTGGCATGAATGAGATTTGTAGCAGTTAATCGTAACTTCACTCATACATGCTCATTAAATCTCTCAAGATTGAAGATTACCACTGAACGAATCTCGGATCATATGGTTTCCCTCTCCTTTTAAAAGCTTGAAAGTGAAGTTAAGGATGACTGATTTTAAATATTCAAATGTCCTTTGAACTTGTGCCAATGTTAACTGAAACACAGTTTTATAAATAAGTTGGTGAGTGTTTTGTGATCATTATGTAATTAAACTCTTTTGAACAAGTCTATAGTAATTGGTCCCTCATGTTTAACAAAGATCTTCAATTTTTGTTTACTACAGCAGCCCTAGTGGGGCTTGAATCAGGCCAAATAACAAAACAACGCTTGCAATGTGAGTTTGTGTTCATTTTCTTGATTCATGTGGAGTAGATGACCAGAATATCTTGGACTTGCTCTAATCTATTAGAAGAACCATGTTTAGAACTGTCAAAGAATTTGACTAAATTTTGATTGCTCACAACCATTTACAAAAACGCTGATGTAATGACTTGTTTCTTTACATCAGGTAAACAAGTTAAGGGGTTCACAAGAATTTCCAAGAGCTCCTCCTATGCTTCATTACAGATGTTAGCGCCTTCTCCCACTTCTGTTTACAAAGAGACGGAAATAACAGAAACATTTGATTATATTAGAGAAGTGAACAAAATAGTTATCAATGGTTTATTGTTCAGTCTAAGAGAAACAATACAATATCTGGACAATTAAACAATCACTACTAGTTAAAATAATCTAACAGCCATTTTTCATACCCTATTTTATCGACTCTAGAGATAATGAAGAAATAATGTAAGAGACTGCTTATAATCTTTGTTCTGGTAGAAAACAAATTCTTGAACATGTTCTTATATTGTTCCACATGTATTGAGAGATAGATGCCTTCAATATTTTTGTGTCTCTTCCAGGAATTTTGATTTCGTCAAACTAGGAATCAATTTACAATCTTTTCATGTTGCATATTATACTCTACAACTATCAACCCCTTTTAAAGAAAATGTAGCAATTTTCTTGAGACCTGTACATAGCCACAGATAAGAAGAACCACGATGCGTCAAGGGACATACCTTTTCTTTGATGATCCGGTTTCGTGTGGTCCTCTGACAAAGGCCCAGTCAACGTTGATTGTCTGTCCCAAGATATCTTCACCATTCAATGCATCCATGGCTTTCTGTGCTTCCTTGAAGGTTTCAAACTCCACCAGAACATAACCCTAAAACAAAGCGATTTATAATAATGATAATAACAACAATAATACATAGTACGGTATGTTTTGCTTACCCAGGGTATCCTCATCAATATCAAATTAATACTGTTCTCCCTAAGAGCCCTGGAATCATATTATTACCCAGGCTTTAGCTGAGTTACCATGATAAGGCGCTCAAGCATTTAATGAATTTCTGCCTACCAGGTACCCATTTACAAACCTGAGAGGAGAGTGGCAAATGTAGATTAATATCTTGCCATAGGACATTTAATAGTGCTGCAGCTGGATTCGAACAGCGAACCACGTGATTCACAGTCCAGCAACATATCCACTAGATCAAGACACCTCTACAATGCTGTACTGATACTCTCTAAATCACTTTGAATATACATAATTTCTCATTCTCATTCTCATTGTACTGATATAGTTTAGATAATCAAAACATATAGTTTTAGATTCTTTATGAAACAGCCATGCAATGATGAAATTGATGGTAGTAAATGATTCCACATCTTGTCTAACCCTATATTTTTCTCAACACTCCAAATATCTTCAGATATTAGAAAATTCAGTTAAAATAGATATATCATTTGCAAAATGTACTTTTCACTAGAACATCTCTAAGAGAGAAAGCAAAAACGTTTGAGCATGTTTCTTCCAATTCTCTGAAGAAACATAGAGGAAACTAATTGCTACAAAACTACAATAAAACAAAAAAAATAACCTAAATCCAAACCTCCAATATCTTCCAAATAAAAAAGGACAAACACTTACAATAATCATCAAAGTTATTGGCAAAGTCTTAGTGAGAAGTTTTACCTTAAACTTGTGTTCAGCCATCATTTCTTCATTAATCTTTAAAAACATGTCTATTGAACCTTATTTTTGGTCTAAGGCCATCAGTATTAGAAATACTAATAGCTCACATTTATAATGCGTTTAATACCTTGTTTCTAGGTGCAGCACATATTATTACCCCGGTCATTGGATTCAGGCTTACCCGCAACACAATGTATGCACATTTTTCCACTTCCTGGGGAGCATCATTAGTGACTTGTTTCAATACTGAATATAACTTACTAACCTTGAGGTAACCTGTTCTCCTGTCTAGGTTGACATGTGTGTTCTTTATCTCTCCATAGTCAGCAAACTTATCTCTTACATCCTCCTCTGTAGCCTCCTCATGTACCCCGGTCACAAATAAAATCCAGCCCTCTACAGCTACAACAAATGATAAACAATAACAAATTTATACAAACAAACATAAAACACTTCATAATTTTTTGGATTCTAAAAGGCTCAACTTGAACATATAATACCAAAGGAATAATGTCATTTTAGCTAATCATTCAAGGGCCTGTTACTCGAAACTGTCAAAAGTCTAACTTTGTGGACATCCTATGTTTTTATAGAATTAACACACGTTTCTATGGGATGTCCACAAACTTAGACTTATGACGGTTTTGAGTAACAGGCCCCAGGTAATTGGTTCCAACAACAGAGCCTGGGCATGAGGTTCACTGCAAAATCATTCATGCAGCGGGCTGGAGCAGGGCAAATTCAGTGTTTAACTTTTTGGTGATCACCACAATTTTTTTTTAGCACAAAATTGTTTGGAACCAGCAACCTTGACAACTTGGCCAGTATAACATCAATCTAATGCAATCTTCCCTAATAAAGCTTTTCTGATGAACACAAGATAATTGGTACTTGGTAGATGATCCTCAAAATACACCTCACAGAATATTAACTGGAAGTGGTGTTGGAAGAGGGTGGGATTAAGGGGAAAAGGGACCTTTTAGAAGGGCCACAAAGGGAATCTAATCCTAAAAGCAAACTAATGTAAAATAAATCAGAACAATCAGAGTTGAACAAGTTGAACAAAAAATAAGATAGTTATGAATTTTTGTAAGTTGTAATGAGCAATAGGCAATTTGAATTGACTGAATTGTTAATGTCAATGTGACTTGTATAGTGATATAGTACCACACATAAAATTACTAAAATGTCATTTTGTAACAAAACGTACAACTCAAATAATATGCTGTCCATTCAACATTTTAAGTAGCGCTCCTAAAGAGAAAGACAGATACTAATAATATTATCTAATAAATATTTTGTAATAAACAAGAGAGTTGTTTGTGCATGTGTCACAATATTTTGAAGCTTTAATTTTGTCTTACATCTCTGAGGTCCTGATTCACTGGTATCAATCTCTAGACCCTGGAACTCCTCATCAGCTGTACGGATTCCTCCTTCTGTAGATACGTTCACAAAAATAATGTGAAATTCAACAATATTTTCACATAACTCAATGAAATTTACTTTATTCTAAAACTAACAAAGAACATAGCTGTACTTAAGGGTATACATTTCATATTTTGACAATAACACTTTTATACAGAGAAAATAATATTTAAATCTAGATTATCAATATTTAAAAATGTGCATTGAAGAAAATGATGCTATATTTCCAACAGATTGTTAATTGTACTCACCAGCACCGAATCCTCTCCCTTTCCTCTTCTTGACACTTTGCCTCAGCTTCTGTATATTTTCTGCAAGATTAAAAAAAAAAAAAAGGGATAATTACACAGAATGAAAACAAAAACAAATGTAAACCAACTATTGAATTGGCAATGTGAAAACAGCTATTTCTGTGTATATCGTCAGTAGGGGCGCTGGGCAAGAATGAAGATCGTCCGCATGAACGAGGATATCCTCATAAACGCGGACAAATTGCATCCTAAAAAATAAGGATCATACATGTTCATACATGCCAACATTTGAAAATCAGAAATCTGTACAAATTATGCTATTTTAAAAAAAAAGAGGAACAATCCTAACTCTCCTATTCAATACTACAGACAAATTTGTACAGGAAGAGGAACACCTGCATTAAAATGATAATTATCTTCTCTCAAAAAGAGGAATGTTCCTCTTTAATCTGAACAGTTGGCATGTATGTTTGTTTTCGCAGAGGTGTTTTTTTCTCGGCACTCTTCGGTGTAGGGTTCCTAAGCCGCGCGCTGGCAATGCGAAAAACGGATTTCGCGTGAAGAATATCCTTAGTTCACCGTCTACTTTTGCTGGGCAAGAATGAGGATCGTCCACATGAACGAGGATATCCTCATAAACGCGGACAAATTGCATCCTAAAAAATAAGGATCATACATGTTTTCGCAGAGGTGTTTTTTCCTCGGCACTCTTAGGTGTAGGGTTCCTAAGCCGCGCGCTGGCAATGCGAAAAACGGATTCGCGTGAAGAATATCCTTAGTTCACCGTCTACTTTTATGGGTTGCCCGTCTTCCTGATGATTTATCGTTCACAACGTGAAAGTCTCAGTGCAAAGTCAATGTGAAATGCACCAAGGAGCCTCATCGCGGAATCTGTTTTTTGCATCGCAAACGTGCGTATTGGAAATAAGAATTGTCCTGAGCTGACAAAAGCCCTGATGACCCCCCCCCCCCCCATCTGCAAATGAATTCACCCTATCCGCACCTCCAGTTAAAACTCAGACAAGTATTTGGGAGGACCAACCAACCAAGTACCAAGTCTGCGAAAATCCAGACGATCCTTTATTCCTTATTTTTTAAGACGCTTCTGTCCACGATTAGGAAAACGATCCTTATTCTCGGACCAGTGCCCCTACTGATCCTCTAAGACTAAGAGGTCAGCGTTTTTTTAATGAAAATCGCATGTTAGGTAATCATGTCAGTATCACTCCTGCATCACTGCATCAGAATCAAAATCAAATAAAAATGAAATTGAAATGCTAAATTTTTTGTTAAATTCTTGACCGATCTTAAATTATGCTTTGACAAGTTCTACGAGTGATTACAAACGCTTTTTATGTTTTGTTTACATCACTCCTGTTTATGGATTATGGGTGCCAATTAAGGCTAGGCGATATCAATATTATATTTCACGTTTAAACTTTTTAAGGCTAAATCGGCAGCATGGCACTCACTCGTCCGTGAACATACACAGAAGCACATAGATGGGACCGATCATCTCAGTTTCGACGTGAACTACGTATTAAGTTTCCTTTAAAATGGCTTTTAAATTTAAAAATTATAACTACTGTACAACAAAACGATGCCAGGAACATCTGGACAATATATTACTTACGATCAGATTCCTCATCGACCTGGAATTCTTCATCCTCTTCGGCTTCATGAATGTCCAAAACGTCCGCCATTGTGAATGTTTAGTATTGCTCGTAGAGGTCGGGGGGACGCGAGTGGATGTATTTTATAAAGCACCGCAGACGCAGTTTCCGAAGTTTTATCGTCTCAAAATAAAAAATAATGCGTAGGAGGCAGGCTGCAGCCCCCGAGAATTTTGATATCATCTAAAGTCGGGCAATAGTTTCAAACACGAATCCCTGTATAATTAATTTAGCTGATTTGAAAGGATTTCTGTTTCTCAGCCATCCCACCCCCGCACACTGACAAATCTTGAGGAAAAAAAGTAAGCAAATTACAGCAAAATTATTATGGATCATTTTTCAGAAATTGTCTTGCTCAAATCTTCAAAAGAAAGGGCATGTATTGAGGCTCAAAAGACATATTTTAGCGCTAATCTTATAATATGGACCTATTATGATATTTGCTGAAGCAAAATCTGAATTATCTTCAATAGATAAATAAAAAAATGAATAATAAATAAATAAATACATACATTCACGAATGAATGAATGAATGTGTAAATAAATAGGAAAATACATGAGTAAATAAATAACTAAAAAAAAATACATATATTCATTAATTAATAAATAAATAATTAAAAATATAAATTAGATAATTCTACAAACAAAACATCCCCAAAGGCATTGCCCATATACGGGGTGCAATTAAATAGCCTAATCAAAGAGAGGGCCTACTTCTCAATTTTCAGAAGATATAATAGCATGGTATTTTAAAAGACCATATGAGGATCATAAAACTGGAAACCTATGCTTCTGATTCCATACCGGCTCTATCTCCTATCTTTGGCTAAATACAAGAACAAGATGAGCTTATTATATTTCACTGTGATGTTCCGACAATCAAGTTTCTGATGGATGAAAAACAAATCTCATATCAACATATCCTTACAATTAAATCAGTAATGGTGGGAGTGAATAATTACGGATAGCGCTTGAGAATTTGCAGTCACGGATAATTCCCCTCGCGATTCGATTTAATGAAATGTTCGGCCCTCTATTGCGAGTTACCTATAGGTAAGCTATCATAACCCAATTTCAGTAGCGGTCCTAAAACGAGGAGGGTGGATTAAAGAAGCTCAAGCCCCCATGCCCTAATTCTTCAATCCCCTGATTTTTCTTTATAATGTATTTAAGCGAGCCACATGTAAACAATGATTACAGCAACCCCGAGCCCTCCACAAGTCCCTCCCCCAAGCCCTCTACCCATGATTCTTTACAAATCTAACCTGTCCGTTTTCTTTTGGGGTTAGACTTTGGAGTGAAACAATACTGAGTTATGCTAGGAGTCCACTGGGCCGGCGCCAGTTGGTGCCAGTTCGCGCCAAAGATTATGTGATTGGCGCGTAGTGGCTCGCTGTGGCGCCGAATTAATGTCCGCTCGGCATGTGTCGCCAAGTGGAATAAACTGGGTGCCATATGGCGTGCGCCAAATGCCACCCGGCTTGCTCCAAAATGTTGCGCCAGTTCGCGCCAGTTTGCGCCATTACACGGCCATTTGATTCAAAAATTCACCCTGTTAGCGCCATTCGCGCCAATAGACGGCTACTTTGCGCCACTTGGTGATTAGTTTGTGCCAAAGGTCGCCAAATTGGTTTGAACTTGCCGCCGCTTGGCGCTACTTGCCGACTAAATAAATACCGGTCATTGGCTACCTGGTTCAGACCCTCCTCAGCTGCTGTATGAACAACATCTCTACTAAATTATTTACAATTTTGATATGTCTGAGGCTTTTGATAATGTTGGAGTGATGATGCTGCTCCATCAGAAGATGATGAGAGATGCTGAGGTGGCCACTGCCTATCAACTTATACTGGCCAATCCTGAAGAAGAAGAGCCTCCTAAGAAGAAAAGGAAGCACAACTGGTGGTTTAGACCCATGCTCCACCCACAGTTGAGGGCCGAACGTGGACAGTACCACACTTTGATGGAAGAGCTGAGTGAGAATGACAGGAGGAAGTTCAAGAACTACACCAGGGTGTCCCCAGAGATGTTTGATGACCTGTTGGTCAGGCTTACACCCCACTTGCAGAAGAAGGACACCCACATCAGGAAGGCCATTCCCCCTGGTCTCAAGTTGTCCGTCTTCCTGCGCCATCTCGCCACTGGGGCCACCTATGCCGAGCTGTCTTACAACTTCCGAGTGGGCAAGGAAACCATCCAGAAGTTTGTCCCTGATGTAGCCAGAGCGGTAGTGGATGAGTATGCTGCAGAAGTCATCTCCCTCCCCACAACCAATGAAGGCTGGCTTGAGGTTGCAGGTGATTTTGAAGCCAGATGGAATCTTCCTCACTGTCTGGGAGCCTATGATGGAAAGCACATCCGTCTCCAGAAGCCCAACAAATCAGGCAGCCTTTACTTCAACTAGAAGCAGTTCTTCTCGGTTGTCCTGATGGCTCTGGTAGATTCAAAGTACCAGTTCCTGTGGATCGATGTGGGTGGGGTTGGCCATCAGTCTGATGCCCAGATCTACAACAACAGTGAACTGAAGGAGTGCATTGAAGCTGGCACTTTAGGCATCCCAGATCCAGCTCCTCTTCCCCATGATGATAAAGAGCACCCTATGCCGTACTTCTTCGTGGGAGACGATGCCTTCGCCATGATGACGTACATGATGAAGCCCTATGGCCGTCGTAACATGGACCAACAGCAGAAGATCTTCAACTACAGGCTGTCCAGGGCAAGGCGTGTGGTTGAAAATGCCTTTGGTATTCTGGCTCTGCGGTTCCAGTGCTTCCTTGGCCAGATGAGACAGGAACCAGACACAGTCCGCCTGCTCATTGAAGCTGCCGTCATGCTGCACAACCTCATCAGGAAGCACTATCAGGCACTGGACGTCCGCATGTTGGACCAGGAGGATGCCCAGCACAACCTCATCCCTAGAGCTTGGAGAACTGCCGCCATCACTGTGAGAAAGTCCTGCGATGCCGCCCTGCTGTTATATGCGGCAAGTGGCGCCGAATGGCGGGCAATCAGGTGGCATTTGGCGCGAAGTAGTCACCAATCGGGTGCCGTTTGGCTCGCGTAGTGGCGCAAACAAGGTGCCCCTTGGCGCCAAGTGGCGCCATGTGGCGCGAAATCTCATTGGCGCAACTTGGCGCGCACCATTACATTCCAGTGGATTCCAATAGGCGGATTGTTTGCGCCAAAGGGCGATATGTTCGCGCCATTTGGTGCCACTTGACGGACACTTGGCGCTGATTGCTCCATGCAAGTGGCGCGACGAAAATTTCAAACATTTTGAAATTTTCTTGCCGCCACATTCAAATTTGGTGCCGTTACGCGCCACCACGAGCCAGTTTGGAGGCAGTTTGAGCCACTACACGCCACTAGGCACCTTATTGGCGACACTAGGCGCCACAGTTAATTGCATTGGCGCAAACTGGCGCCAACTGGCGCCGGCCCAGTGGACTCCTAGCATTAGATCGAGGTTTGCTGAAAGCCAATATTTTAGTGCCATGCCAAGACTATATAGAATCTGTATTTGTTTGTTCTATTTTGATTTTTTTTTAAAGTTTTACTATTTTTTGTATGTCCTTAATCAGGACCATGAGGAAAAACAGCTTTGTAAATACAAAATCCACGACCACTCATGGTGTTCAATTAAGCCATTCGACTTCGAAACTTAAAAAACAAACAACAACAACAACAAACAAAAAATAAGGGGGAAAATAACATTGAGGCGCCAATGCTGAGTATAGTTGTAGAGCAGTGGCCTCGTTTTCCAATTCAATGCGATAGTGCCCTTTGGTAGGGCATTGATCCTCATTATCATGGACTTAATGCCGTCGGTCCCGGGGTTGCTTACGTACATGGCATACGCGTGCTTTCTTAGCAGTCAGGTAAAACGGGGGTAAAACAAACAAAACAACCAACCAATCACCATACGTACTATCCCAAACGAAGTAGACAAGTAGACAATTCTCCCAATGCCCTCACCATAATTATAGGAATGAATCTGTATTGATGTCATCAAAGACTTCTAATTATTTGGAAAATGCTGAGAACAAGTCAGAGTCAGATATCTGTATTTATATGTTTCCTCGAATTGAGGTTATGGGTTCAAGTACAAGTAAGACCGGGAAGTAAGACGAATCAAGAAACATGTAAGGGAAGGCAGAAAGGAAATCGATTGGGGCGTAAGAGTGGGGGGGGGGGGGGGTCATTCAAGAACAAGACTATCCTGAACGGGTCACTCAATCTAAGACATCGCTTCATCAGTGCCCTCACCTAGTTCAAAATAATGTAAAAAGACAAGTAAACATTTATTTGTTCTGTGCATGAATGATCGTACTTTGACACTGTTGTATAATATTATGTTTGTTTCTGTGTTCGTCATAAAAATTAATGGGTTTGATTTATTCATTAACAAAAAACACGTGATGGCAAGTGATCATGAATCGGTAATTTTTCTTTCTCATTTATGTTTATTTGAAAGATTTTATTTTTTCTGCTCGTATTTATTCAGCAAATCATGGCAATGTTCAATATTACTTTTACACTGCATGTTGAGTAACTTGATATACTACTGAAGTTGACGTGTAGAGAGCGCAGGAAGTGGATCCCCAGAAGAGCACTTCACAAGTGCTATTATATGATTGAAAGATATCACAAAATGTGTTAAAGCATGAGAGAGAGATATTTTATTTCACTGTCTCGCTCAGTCATGTGTTTCTTTCAAATGTGAAAGGACCTGGAATAAAATTCACCAGCCGACCACTTTTCACATAGAACCACAAGCCTTAGAATAGTAACATAATCACACGGAGAGGAACAAGAAGGATTAGTCTCCATATCAAATTTCAGATGCAAACGAGAAAGACATATCGACAGAATTCTTCCCGAGACAAAAAAAAAGCTATTCGTCTACCAGGGTATGGGGATATGAGAACATTACGAGGATTGGCGGCTGAAAATGCTACCATGAGGAAAAGGATGCTTATCAAATGCATAATTGCATTCGTTTACGCTGTGGTTTCAATCACGGGTTTGTGTCAGTACCCTTTCATACCGCCCTTATACATTTTTTTATTCAAGTATCGACGAACCGAAAAGG